CCAAAGGCCAACACCGGTATCTGGGTCCAGGGCCCCCAAGCCATCCTTCCCTTTCAGATTAGAACATGCCCTCTTTTGATGTGCTAATTACAGCTGGTTCTTAAACCATTTTTAATCTGACAGAGCTGTTTACAAATAGAAAGGCCTGGGCCCCGTCCCCCGAGATTCTGATTAAGTCATACCCGAGGCCATCAGCCTTGTTTCTGCCACCCTCCCCGGGCTCTGAAAGAGGACACTCCCTAGCTCTGTCCTCAGACCCCCTTCTAGTGACCCTACGTGATAGTCAAGATTCAAAGTTCTCTGCCTGAAACCCAGCTGCCTTACGGCTTCGCGGATGTCCCCGAGCTGTAATGACAAAACCCACCCAGGGCGGGGTGTGTCAACAAGCCGGCCACCTGCCTGCAAACCTCAGCCCCAAGACGGATTCGGGGACATCAGAGGTAACGCCTCACGACAGAGCAATAGAGTCCGGGCACAGACAGTCCTGACAGTGGCTATTTAGTTCTGTACCTGCCAGACTTCTAACCGGAGAGGTTTTCTGAGCTTTCTCTTAATCCACTTTCTCCCTGGCCATCTAACCATCTCCAGAGTGAAAAAGTCAACCCAAGGTTGAATGTATAGTCCCTGGAGCTGGGTGACATGGGCCTGAGCCCAGCCTACCCCTACCCACATCTCTGTGCCTCAGTTTTCATCACCTGTAAAATGGGGATATCCCGTGGCGCTCTGGAGCTGGTTGTACTGGCTAATGAGAGACAATTATTAAATTTTTAGGAATTTTAGGAGCTGGCCGTTAAAAACAGCTGCTATGAAAAGTTAATTTACGTAAACTTACAAATAACTTACGTTAAAAAAAAGAAAAAAGGACAAGTACTCAAAACTCCTCACTTCCCAGCTGCTTTTGCTACGTTACCGGTCATCTGTGCCGCTCAGGCCTTTGTGCCCGCTGCACCTGTGAACCAGGTGGAAACGCCGTGAGATGACGTGTCACTGCGCGTCCTCGGGGATGTCGCTAGAGCCTGGAAGGGGCCTGGCGGAAGCACATATGCCACGGAAACTGGCACACGGCACAGATGAGCAGCTTCGTACTCTGAACCCTGAGGGCCGCTGGTTAAATTTAGCAGCACAGCACCCGGGTGTTCACCACTAACTGTTCTAGCGAAGAGAACTAACGCCCAGAGAGGCTTCGAGGGGCACCAGCCCCGTCTTCCGTGCCGTCTCCTCACCGTCTACAGGTCTGGGCCAATGGGGCACAACTAGGCGCTGACTTGCCGGCCGTCCTGCCAACCCCAGGGCAGGGGGACCCCGAGCTCTCGTCGCTTGGAAAGTGCCGACAGCCAGGCGGTGACAGGGGGCCCTGACGGGCGGGGCATGACCGCAGGTGCTGTGTGGGGAGGCATCACAGAAGACAGTACCTTTCTCTTCCTGAAGGCTCCCTTGGCGCCAGGGACGGCTTCGCAGACGCGGCTGATGGCTTCCCTTAAGGGGGCAGGAAGAGAGAGCCATTTGTCACATCAGTCAGGATCCTGCAACCAAGAGACCACACGCGCACATCCCCAGGGGAGACACCTGCCCGTGCAGTTCAGCGTAGACAGCGCGGCTCCCCATGCGGGGGTCACCCGGTTCCCTCTCTGGCAAACAGAACCGCGCAAAATGCGACCAGGTCGTCCTGAACCTCCCGCTGGCAGTGCCCTAGTGCCTCCTGTTGGCGTGGCTGTATCCTAACAGTGTGACGGGTGTCGACGCCACAGTCCGTCTTACGATGGGCTGGGATTCCATTTAGTGGACCATTACCAGGGCACGTGGTCTCCCGGATGTTCCCTTCACGGCCACGGTCCCGGCACGGGGCCGGCCCTGACCAAGCACCGCTACGGGTCACCACCCTTCCAAGGTGAATCAGAACGTTATCAGAAGAAATTTGGTGTTCTGAGTATTATCTCCAGCGTCTGCAGTTAGTCAATATCACAAAACCAAGAGGGTTCTGAAGGCGGGGAGGCGCTCGGGTGATAGACGAATGAGCAAGAAATAAGGTCTGTGCCAGGCAGTCCCCGGAGCACCCGTTTATTGAGCAGCTACCACGTGCCGGTGCTGCCCTGAGGAAAGGAGGCAAAGAGGGTCCTAGGCCTAGGGGCACCTGGCTGCAGAGGGTTCGCCCGGGCAGGACACCTCGGGGCGTGGGGAGGGTGCGAGATGGACCGGCTGGAGGCCGCTGGGGTCCAGATGCTGGGCCTCCAGGTGGGGAAGACGTGCTGGTAACAGGTGCTTGAAAGCAAATGGCTCAACTCTGGGAGCGGGCCTCAGTGGGTGATGACAGGGATACTCCAGAGGGGGCTCCAAAGTCAGGAGCCCAGAAAGGGGATGGGTGAACATGTCAGCCCCCTCGTGGGGGCAGACACAATTGTAAGAGAGCACAGGAAGAAATAAACGGGGATTTGGACACACCACTGGACAAACAGGATAACGGGTCCTCAGAAACATTCTGCAAGCTTTCTACGTGAAATACTTGAAATCATTTTCTATCATCCAGAAATCTAATCCCCACCACAAGATAATGCTCTTAAGAGAGATCTGTCCTTGTCAAATTACCATTCAGGTGAGGCTCACATTCGCCATTGAATTCACTGCAGAGAGTGGGGAAAGACTATTCTAGAAACTCAAATACCGTGAAGGCTGTAGACTGAATCACCATGACTCAGACGAAGTTCCTTTAAAAGGCATGAATGTTTTCAATGTTCATCCTTAGCCATTTGTTTTATAATAATGTTCCAACTGTGGTTCTATCAAAATGATCACCCGAGTACCTTTTAAAAGGCAGTTCCTATTGAGGAAGGTCAAGCTGTCTCTTTATGGAACTATATAAACCCCAGCATCTATATTTTCTCTGTCTAATTTGAAAACAAGAAGAAGAAGAAGAAGAAGCTCGGCGCATCTCTGCACTGTGCTTGTTATGACACATTCGGCTGAGCAAAGCGCCAAAATCCGCGATGGTCCCAGCAGGCCGGGAAGATACCCCACGGCAGGAAGCTTTCTGTAGGTCTCTCCTAAAATATCCGTAGCAAACATCGGATTTCTTTCCCGAGCCACCAACGCGGGCAATGAGAGAAAGAAATCAGCCTTGGGCGACAGCCTCCCAAGAGGATAGCTGTCAGCGGGGTCACCTGTACAGCATGTGTCTGAGCCAGTGGGCCACGCAGGTCGGGCCACAGGCCTCCCTGGCTGCCCGTGTGCCACTTCTGTGGGGGAGGCGGACACAGCCCAAGAAGTCCATTCCATCGAGCAAATCCTCCCCAAGAGACTCCGGTGGCATCCCAGGGCACATTCAGAGACTCCATCTTCTGTCCTTAAGATGTGCAAATGTCAGAAATTCCAGAAAGTTCTCTGAGCTCCACCACCCAAAAAAGTCCTAAGGATCCCCTGTGTGAGATTTACAATCCCCCAACGTGGCTGCAAATCAAGCTACTCTTCAGAAAAAAAATGTCCTCCGTCCAACAATTTGCTTCTAATGCTCCCACGATAACCTGCGTGCGTGTGAATTCTCACCACACGGAGGCTGATGGTGTCCGTCTCCCTTTGAAATAAGAATGTGGTGGAACGTAGTAACTGCCACACTTAGATGCCTGATGCTGACACAAGAAACTTTAACTCCACCGTCTGACTGCAAAGGTAACCATTCTCATCGTCCCTCTTTACCACCTAGCACAGCACGTTTTGGTGAACGGTACTGTCTCAACTTTTCATTCAGCAAAAATGATTTGGCTTTCTGTAATTCCACTGAGTCCTCAGGTCAGTCTCGGGTGGCGATGCACCTGTTTTTAATGGAGATCGCTCATCCACCTGTTCAGCATGACCCCACTGGGGCGAGCCAAACTGTGACCTGAGAGCTCAGCTAACGGGAATGTGGACTCTCTGGCACGACCCCAGTCACCTGGGAGTAACTGAGCCTCACTCCATCCTGGTCCCACCATCTCTCCCATTCAGTGTGAAGTTCTCATCATGAGAGCCAGCTCCTCCCACACGTCATACCTGTCACGCTGGAGGGCGGGATTTGAGAACTGGGTCCTTTGGAATCACGTAGCCCCACTTTTGTCCCCACTCAGCCATCTCAGCCTGCCCACCCCACCTCCCCAAACACACACACATTTCACAGACTAAAACAATAAATAGTAGGTGTCCCAAGTGGTGATTTCTGCCATCAGGGGTTTATGTTCTAGCAGGCGGAGGGGCAATAAATAAACATGTGGAACGACAAAGTGCGATCCACTTCATGAAGAACCAAAAAGGAGAGACATACACGGTGAAGGGTAGCCGAAGACGCCACCCCACACAGGCCACGCCGGCAGATGGAGTATTCTGAGCTGAAGGCCATGGAGAAGTAGCCAGAAGAGCTCTCTGCCCTCCCCCCATTTGCCTAAAAGCAGGTCATAAATCTGTACACACAGCCTGTGCCCCTCTCTACAGGGAGGAACGGAGGTGAGCCACAGAAGCCCTGAGACACAGCAAAGGAACTTGGGCTGCAGCTAGCTCCCCCCTCCCATCAATTCCCCCCACCCCACCCCACCCCTGTCCACGCACTTGCTTCCCCACATGTCAACAAGGGGTTCTCCAACAGGTTCCCCCCTAGAAACCCCAAATTCTTTTCCTGGGTTTTGTCACTTCCCTATGGATTTCTTGTTCTTTGGTAAGATGTGAGATAAGCCCAAGTTCTAACCACTTCTTTGAGTTACTCATCACTGAGTTTCCCTGCCTGCATGTGTACTGTATACATTCATCACCTGCTTCTCTCCTGTTAGTCTGTCTTTTGCCTGCCTTATTTGCAGAACCCTAGCCAGAGAACACAGGAGGGCAGAGAGAAAAAGTGTCTTCCTCCCGTGGAGTGACAAATACAGTAATACATACATACCCAAGGGGGACAGAATGACCAGTGAGTGGTGTTTCAGTGTCTGGGCAGCATTCAGGAAAAAAATCACACTGGGTTTCTATCTTGTGCCTTATATGCAAATAAATCCTAAATGGATTGCAAACTTAACTTCATGGTAATGAAACCATAAAATTACCTTAAAAAAAAGGAAAAAACCTGGGAGGAATTTTTTTATATTATCTTTGAGTGGAAGGATGATACAAATCTTGAACATAAAAGGAAATATTGACACACTCCAGAGCATAAAAATAAAATTTTATGCAGAAAAAAAACTGAAACATTTCATAGTCAATAAGTTAATTACCTTAATATAACTTAATAAGGAAAATATCAAAAACCCGATGCAAAATGTTAAAAGATACAAACAGAGTTCACAGCAAAGGACATACAAACAGCTCTTGGAAATATGAACAAATTCTTGGCTTTACTCAAAATAAGATTATAAACTAAAGCCTATGCTAACATGCCACTTAAACAGCCAAAGGTTCGAGCTTGAGACATTATAAGAAAGCCCCGCATGTGGTTAAGAAGCAGTTCAACACAGCCTCTGGTGGGCAGCCTGGCCTCATCTAGGAGAACGAGACTCACACAGACCCTCCATCCAGCAGACCCGCTCCCGGGAACCTACAGTCTAACACCTTGGAGGCGGCCCAGAGGCCCTGGGCATACCACCACTGACTGCAGCCAGGTTGTTAATAGGATGGAAAGCACTTGGTGGCTGTCACAAGAGCCAGTTCCATAAATGATGGCAACTCCTCCAAAGAGACCACCAACACGGTGCTGGTGATGGTGCCCTCTGTGCCCTTAAGCCTCTCCCTCCAAGCCAGGTCTTATTCCCACAATCTGCCCTGCAAATTCCAACACCCGCCACGGCCCCAAATGCAGTGGGCACTGTGCCACCCTCAGCTGATGCTCCTCTGACGTCTTCTGCCCTCCTGGGTGCTCTTTGCCAGTTTCTCGCCTTCCTGTGATGTGGCCACAGGACTCCGTCCTGCCCACCTCTTCTCTGTCCTCTGTGCAACTCGGACAAGTGGACGAACAGGGTACAGTCCGAGAACCAGTCCACTGCCCCCAACTCCTGTCTCCGTGCACGCAGGGGCCCAGCTCCTCCCTGGCCCTGGATAAAGCCCCAGACACAACCCGTATCTACGCACCCACTTTCGGACAAGAAAATGTCCCCAGTCACTTATAAGTTACTCTATTTTCAGTAATAAAGATATCCAGCCCAGCATAACAGTAAAAACTCTGAAAATCATTTAAAAGCAGAGCCCTCCTCCCCCGCAGCCAAGGAAAGAAGGCTCCTCCAACCTTCTAGCTGCAACATCTGATCCCTTGGCTGGGTGGGGCGCAGGGTTACGTGAAGAGAGGTCGTCAGGTGCATGCAGCAACCCCACCAGCCCCGGGGCTGGGCCCCCGGCGGGACTGAGGGCTGCATCTGGCTCCTTGATCCTTTGGAAGGCCCTCCCCTGGAAATATGTGGGTGCCTGTGCTGTGAAATGGACAGTGTTGGTCCTTCACCCACCCACACACCCATCCCCTCCGCCGTCCACACCCATGGGGC